AAAACAATAAAACACCAACAGTAAAATGGAAATTAATAAAAAAAAAGTAAGAACTTGTTGATATTTAAATGACCGATGTCCTTTGTGCATAAAAAGTTATATATTAAATTTCTAAAAAATAAATGTTTATTAAATCAAAGAAATGAAATAGTCGTATTTTGTAGACGTTGTCAAATATTTTCCTTAATAATTAATTTATAGATAAGAAACTATTACTTGATCATAAATAAAAATTTTATAAATACCAAATTAAATTAAAATATATTAATTTTACAATTCCATATAAAATGAAGTAAATACTTTATATTTGTAGGAATAAAGATATAAAAAAATATTAATATTAAAAATATGACTTTCATAATTAATTGATCCTTTAAGAAAATCTTGATATTTATAAAAATAAGAATTAAATTAAAAAAAATGGAAAGGCCTAATTGTCACTTAAACCCAGACGATGTTTAAAAATAAGACAGTAGCTTAAATAACTGCTGAAAAAAAAAGGTAAGTAGATGTCAATGAATAAACATCCCAGTCTCCTACCTTAATGTGACCGACCGAATTTACAATCACAAATACATTGCAATACAAGAGTCAGCTTAGAACCTGACCACCCCTAAATAATAATAAAAATGAAACCCCACCAACAAAATAAAATATTAAGATTGTCTACGCTATTAAGCAAATCAATTTCATAGAAAGTTATTCTTAAAATCACTTGATAATGGAACGAAACTCTGTATTGTAGATTTAATTTTTAAAATTAATCTCGATTTGGAGTTTTCCGTTTGAAACACAGGATGTTTTGTGTCACGATAGAATCATATTTTTCATAAAAAAATAATTATATATATATATATATGTAATTAATGTTTTTAATATAATCATATATTTATGTTGCCTGTACACTAAGAAAATAAAGTATTTCTAAATGAAAATAAATACTGTTGCGGGGCCGAGTAGGATGTCGCCCCCGCAAGGTTTTTAAGTATACGATAAATGTGAACAGCCAAGACAATGACGGGACAAAGGCAAAGGTTTTGTTATGAACAAAAGTGTCGTTTTATTCACATTTACATCGGTGTGGTCGAAAACTGGTTAATCGACGAACGTAGCTGGTTCGGTCGATTGTAGCTGGTCTGGTCCGGTAGTTGGTCTGGCCCGGTAGTTTAGGTTTGGTAGGCGAAACGTAGTTGGTTCGGTAGAATGTAGCTGGTCGGTCGAATGTAGTTGGTCTGGCCTGGTAGTTTAGGATTGGTAGGTGAGCGTAGCTGGTCTGGTCGAAAGTAGCTGGTCTGGCCCGGTAGTTTAGGATTGGTCGGCGAACGTAGTTGGTTCGGCCGAAATGCGAAGACGGAGTCCCTAAACAGGGCCAAGGCAGACTAGTGATGCTACTTCACAGGGCGGATCGACCGCGGGAACGGGATCGCGCCAAAGTGTATCACCAGGCGAAGACGGAGTCCCTAAACAGGGCCAAGGCAGACCAGTGATGCTACTTCACGGGGCGGATCGACCGCGGGAACGGGATCGCGCCAAAGTGTATCACCAGGCGAAGATGGAGTCCCTAAACAGGGCCAAGGCAGACTAGTGATGCAACTCCACAGGGCGGATCAACCGCGGAAACGGGATCGCGCCAGAGTGTATCACCAGGCGAAGACGGAGTCCCTAAACAGGGCCAAGGCAGACTAGTAATACAACTCCACAGGGCGGATCAACCGCGGAAACGGGATCGCGCCAGAGTGTATCACCAGGCGAGGTAGGTCAGAGAGGTGTTACACCTTCCAGGGCGGATCGACCGTGGAGACGGGATCGCGCCGAAGAGTAACACTCTCGACAAAAGCACCGGAAGTTCACAAAGGTAGTGTACTACACTTTGATCCAGGCCTCCGGGCCGAGCTGCCTAGTTTGGGCGAAAAAAAGTGTCTAAGGATATTTGCAAAGATTTGTTCAAGTACTCCCTGGCTAGAGGAGTAGAAGGCCGTAGATAATAAATTATAGTCTATAGTTGCCGATGTTTAGAATGGCTCAGCATAGTCAGATGCGTACTAGGTATGGTTTGACATCAACGATATTGGACTAGCCGTCCGGTTTCTGGCCTGTTGCTTGACCTAGATCTGCGAGATCGAGAGTTGTGAAGGTCAAGGTCGGCTTTGTAAGGAGCGGATAATCGGCGACCGCGACAAGGCCCTTCCCTAGAAAAATTGATCGTATCAATTAATAATAATAATATTTACGAAGGTCTTTAGGGAAAGTGACCCTCCTACCGGATCGGGTCTGCCGCACAGGAGTCGCTGGGGTGTCGTTTGATGTCTGCGGTGCTGCGTCTGATGGGTGCGCTGGAATAGCATTAGGGGCCGCAGAGCCGGGTTTGCGTCATACTGTCGCTTCTCCAGAAAAGCAGGCTTGGTCCGATCGATTGCGATGGTGTCGGTCGAGTTGGCGCGCTTGATCGTAAGGTGCTTGTCGGTGCGTCGAAGAACCTGAAAAGGACCTTGGTATGCCGGCGTGAGTGGTCGTCTCACGGCGTCGTTCCGTACGAAAACGAATTTGCAATCTCGCAAGTGTTGAGGGATGTACGAATTCACCGGTTGCTGTCGTGGAGTTGCATATTTAAGCCGGGCCATTTTGTGGCGGAGTTCCTCGACGAAAGGAGATGTTGGTTTTGAAAACGTCTGAAGGGAGTCGTCGAAGTATTCGCCGGGTAGCGCAAGAGGTGTACCGAAAACCAGTTCGGCGGGTGAACAACCTAAATCCTCCTTTACGGTGTTCCTCAATGCTAGGAGAATTAAAGGTAGGTCGTCACCCAATTGATAGTGTCAGGTCTAGTGGCCAGGGGAGGTTTTAAGGGACCGATGAAACCTCTCAACTAAGCCGTTGGCGCACGGATGATAAGCGGTAGTCTTTATGTGCTTGGCGCCAAGTAGGTTGGTAAACTCCCGAAAAAGGGACGACTGGAACTGTGACCCCCTGTCGGTCGTGATAACGTGGGGCGTGCCGAAAGTTCAATCCACTCTTTCAGGATGGTCCTAGAGACTGTGTTAGCAGAAGTGTCTTTTATAGGTATGGCGGTCGGCCACCGCGAAAAACGATCCACAACCGTCAAAAGATACTGGTAATCCTGACACATCGGAAGCGGTCCCACTAAGTCGACATGTATGTGTGAGAACCGTGCATCGGGACTGCTGAAGGTGCCGACGGGGATTTAGTGTGTCGGTGGACCTTACACTTCTGGCACTCCATGCACGTGGAAACCCATTCTCGAATGTCCGCATTCATATTGGGCCAAACGAATCGGTCGGTAATAAGTTTGACCGTAGCTCGCTTACTTGGATGAGACAGCCCGTGGAAATGTTGGAATACCTGTCTCCGAAGTGTCGGTGGGATGTAGGGCCTAGGGCTTGCTAGGCTGGTGTCACAGTACAGGGTGTCGTCGCTGAAGGATGCAGGGAACTCCCGAAGCTTTAAAGAAGTATTCGAAAGGACGTCTTGCAGCGTGGGGTCGGATTTTTGTTCAGCGGCTATAGAATCTTGACCCAAGACGCCGGTCTGAAGAGATTGAATTTCCGCTCGCGATAATGTGTCTGCGACGGCGTTGTCCTTCCCCTTTATGTGACGAATATCGGTCGAGAACTGTGACAGGTAGTCGAGATGCCGGATCTCGCGAGCTGTATACTTGTCAGAGTTGTTACTCATCGCGGTTGTCAACGGTTTATGGTCGGTATAGATGGTAAAATCTCGACCTTCCAGTAAGTGCCTGAAATGCCTGACGGCCAGATAAATGGCCAGCAGCTCTCGGGAGAAGGTGCTATATTTTCTCTGGGCTGGCGAAAGCTTGGCTGAAAAGAATGCGATGGGTTCGCGTTGTGAGTTGAACTCTTGCTCAACCACCGCGCCCACACCAGCGTCGGATGTCAGGAATAGTCGTGTCTCTGGATCGTCGTTGATATGCCTGGTATAATTCGCCAATGCAGCCTTCGCTGTATGGAATGCGTGCAGAGCATCTCCCTCCAAAGAGATGTCCTTGTTTCTTCTCTGCAGCAGGTTCGTCAGTGGCTGGAGGATGGTAGCGCAATTTGGTATGAACCGACGATAAAAATTGAGCATGCCGAGGAAACGTCGCAATTGCTTCATGGACGTCGGTGTAGGAAAGTCCCGGATCGAGCTGATCTTGTCTGGCAGAGGTGATATGCCGTCTGCGTCGGTGCGGTGCCGAGAAAGTCAACGCTGGGCGCCCGAAAACGCACTTGTCAGGTTCAACTTCAGGCCGTAGTGCGAGAGTCGCTGGAAGACTTCTCGCAGGTGTTGTCTGTGAGAATCGGCGTCTGTACTGGCCACCAAGATGTCGTCGATATAGGCGTATACATGCGGAAGTCCGCGCAGGACTTCGTCTATGAGTCGTTGGAAGGTCTGGGCAGCGTTACGTAGACCGAACGGCATTTTTAGAAATTCGTATAGGCCAAACGGTGTTGTGACTGCCGTTTTGGGACGTCTTCCGCAGCGACGGGGATCTGGTGGTATGCCTTTGTCAGGTCGATTTTCGAGAAGATGCGAGCCCCCATCAATCCGGATGCAAAATCATGGATATGAGGGACAGGATATCGGTCTGGTACGGTCGATGCATTCAATTTCCGGTAGTCGACGCATATCGAAATTCTTCACCACCAGGTTTAGGCACTAAGTGTAGTGGCGAGGCATAAGGGCTATCGGAAGGACGAATGATGCCATCACTGAGCATTTTGTCGAATTGCTCCTTGGCGTACGCCAGTTTGTGCGGAGCGAGTCGTCGCGGATGGGAGTGTGCGGGAGGACCTCGGGTTCTGATGTGGTGCTGAGTCTGATGGTCACCTGAAGCCGTTACTTGGAGTGGCAGCGTTATATCCGTGAACTGCGTCAGGAGATCTAAGTACTCGCGACCATGGCATGTTGCGACGCTGATTCCTGTGGAGCCTTGACGTGTGGGGTACCCTAAGACACGGAGATTCGTCGTCGTATCGGACAGAGTCCTAGGGTTCATATGGACCGCCAGTGCGTAATGCGCCAGGAAATCCGCGCCGAGGGATGGGTACCTTCACGTTGGCCACGGTAAATGTCCAAGTGAAATCGCGTCGCATGCCGATATTCAAAGTAAGGGTCCTTTCTCCGTACGTGTCTATCGCGGAACCATTCGCTGCTCGTAGTTTGATCAGGGTGGGCTTAGCGGTGTGGTCGTTCTGAAGGGGTACCACGCTGATGGCCGCACCTGTGTCCACCAGGAATTTCAACTTGTTCCGTCGATCCCAAACGTAAAATAGACGACATTGCGTGTTGGCACCGGAAGAGTTAGTCGTCGCGACTCTCCGGTTTATTCGTTTCCCCGGGCCGACGGGTGTGTACAGGAGGTTTACAATTCCTGGCCTCATCGCCGAATGTGCGATGAAACCAACAAACACCCTGGTCGCTTCGCCGTTCTCGGCTGGGGGTTCGTCTCCGTCGAGATGGGGTCGATGTCCTCGTCCGCGGGCGCAGGGAGATCTGGAGCTCCTGAATTTGCCGTTGAAGGTCGGCCAACGCCCGTTCCGTTTTACTAGGCTCGTAGCGTTCGTGCTTCGCTATGTCGGGGGGCGCGAACAGCGTTAACGCTGTGGTCGAACTGTGCAAAAAACAAGATCAGCAGATTCTGCCAAATCATCTAGAGGCGTGGCTCTCGTCATTGGTGCGATGATTTGTGCAACAGATTTAAACAAATGCTCCAGCCATAAACCTCGAAGAACCTTTTCTGATACGTTGTGCTTTCCCAGCTGGTTCCTCATATATCTGAGAAGCTGGGATGGCGTCTTGTCGCCTCTAGTGACGTTCCGCAGTATCTCTTGGATCATATCTTCCTCGGAACGTCCGGTTCGCTTGAGGATTGCTTCCTTTAAGTGATCGTACGGTTCATGCTCGCGCAAATCGGAGAGGACATCAGAAATTTCGTCCATCATATCAGATGGGAGTTTCTGCATTACATTCGCGAATCTGGCTCGCTGTGAAGTAATGCGTAGCATTGAAAAGATGGATTCCACCTGCAGAACCAGTTCTTGGCATTATGGTGGTATGCAGGCAGAGGTATGATCGCAGCCGTCATGTCCAAAGAATCACTTTTAGCCGACTCCATCATCGCTTAGCTGTCTCACGTCGGGAAGTCACCACTTGTTGCGGGGCCGAGTAGGATGTCGCCCCGCAAGGTTTTTTTAAGTATACGATAAATGTGAACAGCCAAGACAATGACGGGACAAAGGCAAAGGTTTTTATTATGAACAAAAGTGTCGTTTTATTCACACATTTACATCGGTGTGGTCCGAAAACTGGTTAATCGACGAACGTAGCTGGTTCGGTCGATTGTAGCTGGTCTGGTCCGGTAGTTGGTCTGGCCCGGTAGTTTAGGTTTGGTAGGCGAACGTAGTTGGTTCGGTAGAATGTAGCTGGTCCGGTCGAATGTAGTTGGTCTGGCCTGGTAGTTTAGGATTGGTAGGTGAGCGTAGCTGGTCTGGTCGAAAGTAGCTGGTCTGGCCCGGTAGTTTAGGATTGGTCGGCGAACGTAGTTGGTTCGGCCGAAATGCGAAGACGGAGTCCCTAAACAGGGCCAAGGCAGACTAGTGATGCTACTTCACAGGGCGGATCGACCGCGGGAACGGGATCGCGCCAAAGTGTATCACCAGGCGAAGACGGAGTCCCTAAACAGGGCCAAGGCAGACCAGTGATGCTACTTCACGGGGCGGATCGACCGCGGGAACGGGATCGCGCCAAAGTGTATCACCAGGCGAAGATGGAGGCCTAGTGATGCAAACAGGGGGATCAAGGCAGGACCAGTGATGCAACGGGTCCCTAAACAGGGCCAGGGCTAGGATCAACCAGGGCGGATCAACCGCGAAAAACGGGATCGCGCCAGAGTGTATCACCAGGCGAAGACGGAGTCCCTAAACAGGGCCAAGGCAGACTAGTAATGCAACTCCACAGGGGATCAACCGGATCGGGATCGCGCCAGAGTGTATCACCAGGCGAAGACGGGATCTAAACAGGGCCAAAGGCAGACTAGTAATATCAACTCCCAGGGCGGATCAACCGGACAGGATCGCCAGAGTGTATCACCAAACAGGTCCCTAAACAGGGCCAAGGCAGACTAGTAATACAACTCCACAGGGCGGATCAACCGCGGAAACAGGATCGCGCCAGAGTGTATCACCAGGCGAAGACGGAGTCCCTAAACAGGGCCAAGGCAGACTAGTAATACAACTCCACAGGGCGGATCAACCGCGGAAACGGGATCGCGCCAGAGTGTATCACCAGGCGAACGGAGTCCTAAACAGGGCCAAGGCAGTTAGTAACACAACTTCCAGGGCGGATCAACCGCGGAAACGGGATCGCGCCGAAGTGTATCACCAGGCGTCACAGAAGTGTTACACCTTCCAGGGGCGGATCGACCGTGGAGACAGGCACCGGGGGGATCGCGCCGTAAAATTTGAGTAACACTCTCGACATAAAAGTCACCGGAAGTTCACAAAGGTACTGTACTGACATCAACTTTGATCCAGGCCTCCGGGCCGAGCTGCCTAGATTTGGGCGAGAAAAAAAAAGTGTCTAAGGATATTTGCACAAAGTTATTTGTTAAAAATAAACTCCCTGGCTAGAAGGTATTTAAAGGCCGTAGATAATAAATTATAGTCTATGGTTGCCGATAAAGGAACAAGAAACAAAAGCAATACATTATGAGGATATATAGGTTAGATATCAGCTGACCTGGACTTGAAGATGTTTAAAAATTGTCAGGAAAGCAACCGGGAGTCTGTTTAGAATGGCTCAGCATAGTCAGATGCGTACTAGGTATGGTTTGACATCAACGATATTGGACTAGCCGTCCGGTTTCTGGCCTGTTGCTTGACCTAGATCTGCGAGATCGAGAGTTGTGAAGGTCAAGGTCGGCTTTGTAAGGAGCGGATAATCGGCGACCGCGACAATACAAAGTTATATATTTTAAAAATAAACTTGGAAAGGTTAGAATAAATATTTAAATGTTCATTTCATAAATATGAAAGAAAAAGAAATGAAATTAAGACAAACAATATATTCCTTTCTTTTTATTTCTTTTTTTACTTTATCCAATACAAAGCTCACTGGCCACCCAAGTGATTACTGAGTGAAACTTGTAAAGGAACAAGAAACAAGAAGTACACATTATGAGGATATATAGGTTAGATATCAGTTGACCCTGGACTTGAAGATGTTAAAATTGTATTGATCAGGAAAGCAACCACCAGGGAGTCTGTTCCATAAAGTAACAGTTCTGGGAAAGAAGCTTTCTGAGTGAAACTTACTCCTTATCAAAAGAACACAGAGCAAATGGAGATGATTTGCCATCAGGAACGTAGTATGGCAGGTCTTAACTGTGAAGGTCTGAAATGGTTGGATTAACTCATTTTCTATAGTAATAGTGATATTGTAGTGAAAAGCTATTAATGTTTCATCTGTGGGATAAGAGTTGCAGAGTAGCAAATAATTAAACCCTCACAAAATAGCAATTTGAATTACTGAACATTAGGGACTGGGACCACCATCCCAGATATGGCAGCAATACTCTATATTTGGTCTGATCTGACATTTTTAAGGATAGAAATAAGAGTTAGGCAATTTTTGAGTTATACAAAGAACTGACCATTTTTCCAGCATCTTTAACAATGGTATCAATATTTGACTTTTATTTGTGGTTTGGAGTGAGTTTTAAACCTAATAGGCAATTGAGCCAAGGAGCCTTATTGGATTTTTTTCTGGTGTTTTTGCTTTAAATTGGTATTTGAGAGAAGACAAATTTTGTCACGCAGTACAGCTTAGTTTCTTTATTTGATATCTTTCAATTTCATCTTAATTGCTTTCATCATAAATCCTATTAATTTAAACTTGAAATATCTATGTAAGTTTTATGGTTTTCCTATTTTAAATGTCTGATGTAATGGAATAACCTGTCACCCCCATGAGTGACTACACTATAGGTAGCAACTACTTATAAGTATCTGCAAGGCAACAGTCTACGGAGTCTAGCTGAGATCAGTTACTCAGATCTTGGCTATTGTTGAACTCTCTGCCTTCAGAACCCAAACAAGGCTATACTGAAGAGCAGAGTCTTGTCCAGGGATGTAGACAGACCCGATCCTGTTTATGTGGGGTCTACGGAGAATTTTTGGCTGAGAGTATGGGCTTGGATGCCCCACATTAAACTCAGCCTTGTGCCACATCTACCCTTGTGGGGAGGCTAGTAAATATTGTCTAGCGGGAATTTGTTATGCAGATCTTGGCTGTTGTCGAACTCTCTTCCTTCGGGCAGAGAGGAACCTGGATGAGGCTACGCCGAAGAGCAGAGTCTTGTCTGGTGAGGTAGACAGACCTGAACCATTTATGCGGGGTTACAGGGAATTTTTGGCTGAGCTTACGGGCTCAGATTTCCCCACATTAAATTAAGCTTTGTGCCACATCCTACCTTGTGGGGAGGATGGTAAATATTGTCTAGGTGGGATCTGTTGAGTACGACTCAGACTTACGCAAGAACCACTGAACTTCCAATAGTAACACTCACTACTGGTTTGACTTATGACGACCTTCTGCATAACTGTTACTTTTATTCTTATTGTACTGGTTTTTACAATAAACCTTTACTTATTTTATCCACCATGTTGTCAAGTATATATTCCTATTAGCACGGAATATAACAATTTCTAATGAATTTTAATTCTTAAGTTAATGATTGAATAATCTCCTTGTGAATTTCATGACAACAAAACAAACATGGAAATACCTCTATTACATCATTAAATGAACAACTAAAAATATTGCAATAATAATAATGATATTAATAAAGAAGTAAGAGGGTGCAAATGAAAAGATTTGAAATTCACAATATTTTTCCATTTCATTGAAGCAGAGGTTAAAAACATAAGAGTATTATCACCTCCTTTGTCGTCTCTTTTTTTTCTTTCTTTCCTTCCTTCTTTCTTTCTTTTCCTCACTGAAACCAAATAATGACAATGATATGCATTTTTTGTCTTTACTAGATGAAAATTTAATAGTCCATTATATATGAGGTATTGGTAGGGTTTAACATATGTGCTAACTAAGGAATAAAGCAGCAAGCAGAATTACCATGATATTTTTTAAGCATATTGAATTTTTTTAATCATTTCCTTACAAGCAAGGCAATAAAGAGACTAAGACGCAAGAAGTTTCTGATTGTGAGAGAATATGAAAAAAAGGAAAAAATTATTAAGGAGAGAGAACAATAAAAGAAATTCAGAATAAAGGTAATGTCAGTGGTCAGGAATTAATGCAAGTATTACTGGGGAACTAAGGCTATTCTATGTACATTGTTAATACATTGTGATCTTTTTAATTTTTAGAAATGCCTAGGAAAAAGTTGATGGTCAGAAATCAAGAACAAAGAGATTGTCAGTGGTTAAGAATTAAGGTATAATATCTATAATGTAAATGCACTGTTAATGATTTATACTTAAGAAATGCAATATTGATGTAAGAAATATGGTCAGAATAAGCCAATTATATGTATTATCAGGTAGATTTCTTACTTACACTGTTTAATTTTTCAATGGTATATGTTATCTATACATATATATGTGTATATATATATATACATACATACATACATACATACATACATACATATATATATATATATATATATATGTTTTGAACAATAAAAAATATTAAAAAATTAAAATCCTCAGACACACTGGATTGTATATTAATATTTTTTCATTTTATTATTTCAGTTAGTTTCAACTAGTTTCGGCCAACATGGTCATCATCAGGAGAAAAAAAAATTCTGCTTGTTAGTAGCAGTGAAGTACAGAAACTACAGAATGAATTGATAGAGAAAATGTACTTTATCTGTAGTTTTCATTTGTTTTATTATTTTTAACATGAATTTCCTATATATATATATATATATATATATATATATATATATATATATTGTGAAAATAGGAATCAACACTGCATTGTG